ACAAATCATCAATACACAATAATATGGGGAAATCCTAAGAGGGGAATCATAACTATGAAAATAGGTTTTGTTGAGACATGGGTTACCTCTTAGCCTTAATTAATTCCTTGGCTATGAAGGGTCTTTCTTTAAGCTTTCTTCTTTCTTGATTTCTCCTAAGGGGATTCTTGGAACTTCTTGTGTGGTGAGAGATTATTGTGGTGAAAGATCTAGGTGCCTTCTATATCTCTATTTATATATTTAAGACTCCTAATTAGGGCCTGAATGGTATGAGTTTACTAATTCTCTTCCTTATAAGACTAAGGACTTGTTTTAGGGATAAGGGTCCATGGTCCATAGTGGACCATATTAATTAATTAAAGAGAATCCTAATCATAATCTGAATAGTAAAAGGCCTACTTCCTTTATTTCTAATAGGCCTAAGACTCTCATTTAGGCAAGGGTCCACGGTTCATGGTGGACCTCATTAATTAATTAAAGGGAAACCTAACCGAATTAAATCATATTTAATTATTATAAACGGGATTAATTTAAATAATTAATCCGAGATTGAAGGCCGTAACACGGGGTGTTACACTCTCCCCCCCTTACGAGAAGCTTCGTCCCCGAAGCTTAGAAATCATTGCGGGGGTAACGAGTCAAAGGTAGTACGGTGGTCCTATAGAGAAAGTATTCTGCGGGGAAACTGTATAATTGTATGTCTATGTGTGCTGGGTTTTTGGGAACGATTAGGTTTAAAGGGCTAAGAGAGTGGGTTTCAAACCTAAGGACAAAGTGAATTTAGGAATTAGGATCAAAGTTTTCAAGGTTGCAACTTAGGGTGTGAGGTTGCCACCTTGTATGGAATCGTTAAAATAGGGAATCAAGAATGTGGTTTGAAGGGTAGAAAGGGTTTTGAAATAAGGAGGGGGCCAATTTCCCGAGGGAGGGAAAGGAATTCGGCTAGGATGGGTTAAGGGTTCTCGATTTTAAGTGACTATTCTGGTTTGATGCTTTGATCCCGACGTATTGACTAACTGATGATCCTTCTTCCTTGGTGTTGGCACTTGCTTGACTTTAAGATCCTTGTTAGACCTTGCTTCCCAGGCTAAAGTTTCATCCTTCTCTCCTATCTTGAGGGAATCTCCCGTGATGATTTAACACTTACTTCGTTAATACGTCCAAGGTCTTGACCAAGTTTGGTCAACCAAGCCGATCTCTTAGGGCGCACTTCCCAAATTCTTCCCAATGTCTCTTGGGAGTCGATAAGCTTTGGGTTGACTTTTTCTTATTGAATTTCATCTCTTCTTTAGTGAGTGAAATTCTTAGTAAGACTTCATGTCTTCTCCGAGGTTCGGCTTGTTGTGCCCTTTTGTGTTACTTTTAATGATGAAGGTGTCCTTGCATGCTCTTTTTCTTCTTGAAGCGCAGTTGGTTACCTAATCTCGTTGTGGAATGACTCGGTGAGTTTACGAGTCATCTCATTTCCTTGTGGGTCCTTAATGACCCTTGAGATCTTGGCACAAATGTGCTCTTTACTTTTTGCCTAGCACCACGGGCTATGTCGTTCTTGATTCCATACAACTTGTAAGGTGTCCTCTGATTTGCTTGAACGATATCCATGGTTTGGTGGAGTCCCGATCCATCCTTAGCATTTTGACTTTTAATGCCTTTGTGATTCCTTAGCACGAGTTCCCAACTCGTCTCCTTGGTCTGCACAATCCTTTATGCCAATCATCCCTAGTCGGTTGCATCGTAGAATCCAACTTCAACTCCACGTGTAATGCAATTGGTTGTGCTTTTCCGACGGTCTCTTGCGTGTCAAGGTCTTTTACCGATGACACCATGTTTGGGCGACCCATGGTTCCTTACCCAAGACTCGCGTTCATCAATCGAGGCACGCAAGTGTGCCACGAATCAATAAAACGAGGGGTTAAGAAATCAGCACATTGTACCAGTGGGCGCGAGGTGGGCGGTCGTCCGCCTGCCAAGCTCCTGTCAGGGACCCGTCAAGGTCCCGCCAAGGTCCCGTCCAGGACCCGTTAGGGTCCCATCAAGGTCCCGTTGGGGACCCGTGGGAAGGTGACTAGGAAGAGTGAATTTCTTCGGGAAAAATCCCAAGAATGCACCGATTCAAGTCCCGACAAGCCCCATGCCCATGTGCACAATAAAAAGGTACTTGAATACATAGGATGACCCATCGTATAGTTTTATTGATCCTTAAGTACGAGTTATAGATGAGTCAAGACTCTCGCATGTTATTTCCGTTCAGTAGGTCGGGTCCGGTTTCCATTTAGCAACCTCGTCACCTTCACCGGGAAGTTGGTTATAAGACAACTTTGTCTTTTCCTTGCTTGATTGATGACAAGCCTTCTTGGTTTTTCTTGGAGTTCGGCTTGTCGCTCGTTCTTTGTTCAATCCTTTGGTGACCAAGTGCTTGGTGATGCGTTTCTCTTCCTTGGAATGCATTTGATTGACTGCCCTTTGACGTCGCATGGTGTTTTGGCGATTTTGTGTGTTACATGTACTTCTTACGGTGCCTTAAGACCATCAAGGTCCTTGTTCCAAGGTAAGGCCCTTATTGCCGGGAGGCTCTAGTTGCATGATACTTTCTATGCGTCTGTGTAAATCTTGCATTGCACTCCGTATAGGTAATGCCTCCAAATTTTCAGTGCGAATACGATGGCGGCTAGCTCGAGGTCGTGGGTGGGGTATTTTCTTCGTGGGTTTTGAGTTGCCTAGATGCGTATGCTATTACCTTGCCTTTTTGCATTAGCACGCACCTCAACCCCTTTTTGGACGCGTCACTGAAGACCTCGAACCCTTCCACCCCGAAGGGGATGGCTAGTACGGGTGCCGTGGTTAACTTATCCTTCAATTCCTGAAAGGCTGCGACGCAGTTGTCGTCCCATCGGAAAGGGGTCTCCTTTTTCATGAGTTTAATGAGAGGTTGGGCTATCTTGGTAAAGTCGGGTACAAACCTCCTGTAGTAGCCAGCCAAGCCCAGGAAGCTTCGGACCTCTGAAAGTGAGTTCGGTGTGGACCATTCCTTAACGGCCTGGGCTTTGGTGGGGTCCACCTTAATTCCCTCTTTGGTTATTACGTGGCCCAGGAAGGTCACGTTGTCTTTCCAGAATTCGCATTTGGAGAACTTAGCGTATAGCTGGTGCTCTCTTAGAGTTTGTAAGGTTATCCGGAGGTGCCTTTCATGCCCTTCCTTGTTTCGGGAGTAGCCTAGGATGTCGTCAATGAATACAATGACGAAGTCATCCAGGTGGGGTCGGAATACTCGTTTCATGAGGTCCATGAGTATGGCGGGTGCGGGGTGGAGTCGTCCTTGTAGCCGTGCCCCTAGGTACTCTTAGTTGAACCCCCAGTTGTTGCCCATAAGTTCTTTGTGGACCTATCAAAGATCAACCTCGTGTCTTGAAGTAGAACGAGGCTATCTCTACGTGGCGTTCCTCTGGGCATTCTCCTAACCCGAGGATTTTGTTGAAGGTTCGGATTCATTCTTCGAGGAGTGTGGGATCCTTGACTGTCTTCTTATTGGCGCCAGGCTGCTGGTTTTCAGGGTCAATATTTATTGTAATGATGAGTCAGTATGCTGCACCCTTACCTTGGTGTGGTAAGCGTAGGGGGAGTTCTTTTAGAGAGGGATAAAGTGAGGGGAGGTTATGTGTAGGTTTCACGATCTCACCGCGCGTCCTAAGATTCCTGAATCCTATGTTCCTTAATACCTAGAGTTCAAGCCTAATGTCCTAAAGTCCGGTCTTAAGAGTCTTATCCTAGGGTCAAACTTAGGCTCTGATACCAACTGTAACACCCCAGATTTTCAAGACATTTAAAACTTATAAAATAAAGGTGAAATCTCATTAAATCCCAAAATATAATACAAGAGTACGGGGTACTATGCCACACCTGAGCTAGAGAACTCAGGTGCACAGGCTAACTAACTAATATCCTCAATAATGTAAATGCATAAGCATGGCACGCAGACCGAAAGGGAAACTATCTACTTCTACGCTCCAAGTTCTAGCGCGCTCCAGTGACTTATGCTTCTGTGCCTGAAAGCCAAATATATCTGTTCAGCGAGAGATGCTGGTAACCCACTCCAACGCGTTGAAATACAATACATATAGTTATATACATAGATATACGAAAAGTCATTTCGAAGCATGAAGATATATCCTAAGAGACTCTAGCTTTTAAATCAGGTAACCGACTCGACAAATAGGGGTACACACGATGAATGTTGTAATTGAATTCAGACAGTTACAGGATAGATACAATATACTAGTACAACTGAACTACCGTAACTTAGCCCTGGAGACTAGGAATACACATAACAATATAACTAATATATCTCACACTCCCCCTCAAGTACAAGGTTGTACTGGAACAACATTGAGCTTGTCACGCAGCCCGGTGAAACGGAGAGCCGGTAATGGTTTGGTGAAGATATCTGCAACCTGGTCCTTCGTAGAGATGAAATTAACCTGAAAGTCCCCCGAGGCCACTTTGTCTCGTACCAAGTGATAGTCAATTTCCACGTGCTTAGTCCTAGCATGGAATACCGGATTGGCGCACAGGTAGGTAGCCCCAAGATTGTCGCACCATAGAGTTGCGGGACGGCCGGAGTGCAGCCCAAGCTCGCGAAGTAAGGAAATAACCCACGTGACCTCAGCCGCAACATCTGCAAGGCCTTTGTACTCAGCCTCGGTTGACGAACGTGCAACGGTGCGCTGTTTCCGTGATACCCAGGATACCAGGTTCGTGCCAATGAAGACCGCATACCCACTCGTGGACTTGCGATCCACCGGACAACCGGCCCAGTCGGAGTCCTAGTAGGCGTGAATATCGGTGGACGGAGAAGTGGATAATCGTAACCCATACGCCAAGGTGCCTTTGACATAGCGTAGGACCCGCTTAAGGAGGTCCCAGTGTTCCTGCGTAGGAGCGTGCATGAATTGGCACAACCGGTTCACAGCATAAGAAAGATCAGGCCTAGTGATAGTTAAATACTAAAGGGCGCCCGCTAGCCTGCGATATTGGGTTGGATTATCAAACAGATCAGCTGTAGTCGTCACAGGCTGTGTGAGTGAAACTGGAGTGGCAAGTGGCTTGCAGTCTGTCATACCTGCCCGAGCTAGAATGTCCCCCATATACCGACGCTGTGACAATATCATCCCACCATCTACAGATATAGTCTCGATGCCAAGGAAGAAACTCGGAGTACCGAGATCCCGGATTTTGAAGGTGGTGGAGAGACGATGCAGAAGCGTGTCGATAAGTGCAGAGTCATCGCCAAGCATGATGATGTCGTCCATGTAGACTAATAGAAACACTCGGGAGGCACCCGCCGAGTAGTGGAATAGTGAAACATCCGTTTTTGAAGCCACAAACCCTGCAGAGAGCAGATAATCGTGTAGTCGTTTGAACCATGCGCGCGGTGCTTGCTTAAGACCGTACAGTGAGCGTTGTAGGTGGCAGACATGATTGGGGTGATCCGGATCTTCGTACCCTAGTGGCTGCTTCATGTACACGGTTTCGGCTAGGTGCCCATTTAAGAAGGCATTGTGTACATCGAGTTTGCGTAGGGTTCAGTTGTGTGAAACTGCAAAAGAAAACAATAGACGCACCGTAGTCGGTTTGACTACGGGGCTGAATGTATCGAAGAAATCCGCACCAGCGACTTGGTTGTACCCTTTTGCAACCAGTCGCGCTTTATGCCGCTCTATGGTTCCGTCAGCTTTGCGTTTGGTTCGGTAGACCCATTTGCAGCCTATGACATTCATGCCTGGTTCTGGGGACACCAAACGCCAAGTGTCATTGTGAAGCAAGGCGTTGAATTCTTGATCCATGGCATCACGCCACTGAGAATGGACAACTGCTTGGGCGAAGCAAGTTGGGTCAGCAGGGGAGTCAGCCACAGTTAAGGCATGAAGCTGCTCACCCGTGCCTCGTGTCATACGTCGCAAGCGCATGACATGAGCCCGGTCTTGGGGTTGAGCCCGCTGTCTCCGTCTTTTGGGTGCACCTTGGATGGCCAAAGGAGCAGCCACTGGTTTAGGAGGCAAAGTTTCCAGTGGCACCGCGACTTGAGGCGGTAACGGGACAATTGGCGCTGAACCCCATGCGGGTGTTGACACCTCAACCGGAACCTGATTCAAAGAGTTAGTAGCAAAAGGAAACACCGTCTCGTCAAAGCGGACATGATGGCAGATAAAGATTTTTCCGGTATTAAGGTCCATGCATCGGTAACCCCTATAAGACGCTGGATAACCTAAGAATACGCATTTTGCTGACCGAAACTCAATCTTATGCCGATTATAAGGCCTAAGATATGGAAAACAGAGGCAGCCAAAGACACGCAAATAATCATATGAGGGTGGCTTTTTGTGCAGATATTCATATGGGCTTTTAAATTGTAGTACAGACGAGGGCATACGATTTATGAGATAGGTGGCTATCTCAAAGGCATAATCCCAGTGTTTAAGAAGTGCGGAGCTTTCGGCTAAGAGAGATAGACCGGTTTCGACAATGTGTCTATTCCGGCGTTCAACTCGGCCATTTTGCTCGTGTGTATAGGCACAAGATTGCCTATGCACAATACCAAGACTTGAAAAAATTTTATGTAGGCGGCGATATTCACCCCCGAGGTCCGACTGTATGGACTTGATAGAACGCGAAAACAGGCGTTCTACCATAACACCAAACGAATCAAACACAGCATAAATATCTTATTTTAACCGTAAGGGATAAAACCAGCAATATCGTGAATGATCATCCACGAATAACACAAAGTATTTAAAACCGTCTGCAGAAAGAACGGGGGACGGGCCCCAAATGTCCGTATACACCATATCTAAAATATTATTACTTGAATAAGAAACCCTATCTAAAGAAAATCTAGATGATTTTCCCAATTGACACGCCGTGCACAACCCTGGCAGACCGGATTTATTTGGTAGGACGGAACAGTGACGCAACGCATGTTGAAGTGCACGGGAATGGGGATGCCCAAGACGACGATGCCATGTTAATGGTGACGCCCGTGAGGTTATGAACGCAACATTATGGTGACGAGGAACGGACAACTTGTAAAGACCACCCGAACTAGGCCCCGTAAGGAGTATTTCCTTGGTGTGACAGTCCTTCACAATAAAACAATCGGCATGAAATTCCACAAACACATTATTTTCACGTGTTAGTTTTTGAATAGATAATAATAAAACTGACAAATCTGGGACATGTAAGATGTTTGACAGACTCAAAGATTTAGTATGACATGGAATTGATGCACGACCAATACGCGAAATAATCAAACCTGATCCGTTGCCCACGCGAAGTTGATCACTGCCGGTGTACTCTTCTGATTGCGTCAAGACCCCGGAGTCCGGTGTAGCATGGGAGGAAGCCCCGGTGTCCGGGAACCAGACGTCTGCTGCGGCTGCCGGATTCGCGCCATCGCCGACTACGGCCATGTTGGCCATCTGCTGCGCCGGTGGTTGCCCGGTGTAACGCAGGAAGCAATAAACGGCCGTATGGCCATGGGACCTGCATATCTGACAACGCGGTCTGCCACCACCTTGTCCCCGGCCACGGCCATTGCCTCCTCCACGGCCTCGTCCTCGGCTGTTGCCACCTCGCCGTTGTCCATCGCCATTCTGCCGGCGATTGCGATCTGCCACCATGGCTGTTGGAGCACCACCGGCAATCGCACCACCTCCGGGATAGTCATCCGCAAAGATGAAGGCCTGGGCTTGCAGATAATCAGAGAGTTGAGGGATCGTGACTAGATTACCTGAGACGGCGAGCGATGCAGCTATTGCTCTAAACTCCGGACGCAGACCCCTGAATACATACAGGTTCTGCTCATCCAGTGACAAGGGTCGACCGGCAAGGGCAAGGTCCTCCACAAGTAATTGAGCCCGTCCTAGACACTCGGCCGGCGAGCTATCTCCCTGGCGGTGGGCCTGAAATTGACCAAGGAGGTTTAGGCAACGTGCTCTCGTCGACGATCCCAGGGCCGTGCCGATGGAGTCCCAGACGGCGCGGGCGGTGTTGCGACCGACGGCGAGGTACATAACCTCGTCGGATAGAGAAGACACGAGAAGGGATAAGATGGCTTGGTCCTGCTGGACCCAAGCGGCGTAGGCGGGGTTCGCACCTACGGATGGTGGGTCGACGGAGGTTCCTTCGCCGGAAGTAGGGGAGGCTTCAACCACCGCCGGCGGACACGGGCAGCTGCCATCCACGTATCCAAGAAGACCTTGGCCGCGGAGGAAGGGGATCAATTGGGTACGCCAAAATAAGTAGTTGCGCGCCGTGAGTTTTAATGAGATGAAGTGATGGGCAGAGGTTAAGGGGTTTGGGTGGTTCGCCGGAGGGTGAGCCGCGGCGGCGGATGGTGTTCGCTCGGAGGAATCGACAGACATTGTCGATGAGACGATCGGAAAGAGAGACGATCGACGATATGGGTTTGTTTGAGGGAGAGAGTGTATCGGAGTAGGATCGGGAACCTGAAGCTATCTGATACCAGATGAATGTTGTAATTGAATTCAGACAGTTACAGGATAGATACAATATACTAGTACAACTGAACTACCGTAACTTAACCCTGTAGACTAGGAATACACATAACAATATAACTAATATATCTCACACACACAATCAACAGTCATAATCAAGCATATACAATTCTCACATAGGGCACAGTTATAGATAAGCACAACCAATAATCACAATTAAGCATTACTAGCAAGAGCCCTATGGTCACGTTTCCATAACAGTCATATCATCAATTCTTCTCATCCCATCACATAGCACACTTTGTTGGCGCCACAGGACCAATCGCATGCCCATACATGAGGGTCAGCGCATATAGCTCTGACACGGCCCCGCAGCACCCTGCCCCGTCTCACAATACGGAGGGGTCGATCGCAACCGACCGATGAACCGCAGTTCTATATAATATTTATATACCTGACCGGTCTTTACCAGCCTGGTTAACAGTTGGGATGGTTCTCAACCCATTCAACTGCCCGTATAGTGGACCTTTGTCCTATATAATATTTATATACCTGACCGGTCTCTACCAGCCTGGTTAACAGTTGGGATGGTTCTCAACCCATTCAACTGCCCGTATAGTGGACCTTAGTCCTATATAATATTTATATACCTGACCGGTCTCTACCAACTTGGTTAACAGCCGGTATGGTTCTCAGCCCATCTGACTGCCCGTATAGCCCGATTGATCTCAACCAAATCGGGGTAACATGCACACATAACACATAGCAAGCACATGCAACCCACATTAACACATTGGGAAGGGGGAGAAACGTATAACAAAACCTATGTGTGATCCTTCACATTCTAAGAATAGTCCTAAGGGGTTCATACTTCTTTCACCTAGGTTAACGGGATACCAATTCAACTAGCATGCAATATATAAGACTCGTACGACCTACGAACGGTACCCGAAAATCAAACTAGACATAGGCAGGATAGACGGAGTCCGTTGGGACACCAAGGGGGTCGGGGGAACATCAAACGGGGAAGCCGGGGTCCCGAAGTGTGGGAATTTCCAGCGGGTAGCCGGTGGGTGGGGGTTCACCCGCCGGCTGCCCGCCGGTATTTACTGTTCCGAACAGCGGGTGCCCGGCGGGCAGCTGCCCACCCGCCGACTGCCCGCTGCCGGAGCTCCCCTTTTTGGCCGCGGGTGGCGGGTCCCCAACCCCCCACTGACTCATTAACACAATAAACGCCCCTGGAACCTTTGTGGAACCCGAAACCATGCTTAGACACTTTCAAACGCAATTGATAACACACGTAGACAATTAACGGATCAAAATCAAGAAACAAACGGCACATAACCTATCATGCTTTTCTAAACATAATAAACACCCAATCATGCGAAATCCCACCCAATATACCAAGAATAATATCATACGAATTCCACGATATAACCTAGGGTTCTAATTATTTTTAAATCAACAAGAACACAATTCATCTTCCAAAATCAAGATTCGGTAGGAATATCATATAACTATCAAGAACCTCATATAATCATTAAGAACATCAAGAACACCATGTAATTATTAAGAACGTCATATAATCATCAAGAACACCATAATTATCAAGAACCTTTCATCATCAAGGTCACCCATGGAAATCATCCCACCAATCATCAATAATAATATCACAAATCATCAATACACAATAATATGGGGAAATCCTAAGAGGGGAATCATAACTAAGAAAATAGGTTTTGTTGAGACATGGGTTACCTCTTAGCCTTAATTAATTCCTTGGCTATGAAGGGTCTTTCTTTAAGCTTTCTTCTTTCTTGATTTCTCCTAAGGGGATTCTTGGAACTTCTTGTGTGGTGAGAGATTATTGTGGTGAAAGATCTAGGTGCCTTCTATATCCCTATTTATATATATAAGACTCCTAATTAGGGCCTGAATGGTATGGGTTTACTAATTCTATTCCTTATAGGACTAAGGACTTGTTTTAGGGATAAGGGTCCATGGTC